AGTCAACCTAACATGGTCATATACACAGAATCATACCTGTTAGCCCATGTCTCCATCACCATCTCTGGGCATGTCATGTCCAATGGCAGGAATGCCCCAAAAGTGGAAGCACAGCAACAACAGTCATGATGGAGTGGCCTTGGTAATCCTCAACATTGACTGTGAACCCAACAGTGCTTCATGGCATTAGATTAAGCATGGGCAAGGAAACACCCTGTTGATAGCTGTCACTCTCAGTTGATGAATCAATATTCCTCCACACTAAGCACCATTTGGAAATAACAAGGGCAGAAAATGTTCTCTGGATCAGGGAGTTTCTATCACCTAGAGTGGATTAGTAGCACCATTCCTGATGGAATTGGTTTGACAGAAGACAAAGCTGCCAAAGTAGGCTCTCACACCAGATGCTGAGAAAACTAACATGAGGGAAAAAGCTAACTGACTTCACCATTACTAATCTTTTGTAAATTAATCTGGCCATGACAGTATTGGTAGAAATGACCATGGCTTAGTCCTTATGAACATTAAGTCTTCCCACTTTGGGTTCTTGTGGTGTGTGGCAATAACACCTTTTTAGGTGGAATAGAGTTGGAACAAATTTACCAGCTCCGAATTTGACATCCAATAGGCATTATAGGCATCTGCAGCAGCCAAATTGTATCCAATGACAAAGTGTAACTTCTCAGCATGACAAACCTTTCACTGGAGTATCACTGGTACTGTAGCGCTCTCTTGTAGAATCCTAGAATGCAGGCCATCATGTCCAGGGAATTTGTTGGATCTTCATCTTTTAAATTGCTCTCAGACTCCTTTTCTGTTGATATGAATTATCTTAAGTTGCCTACTTTTATTAGTCCTTTGGTTAACCTCTATTTCAGATTTATAATTGGAAATTAAAACACAGAACATAGAACACCACAGCACCCTTCAGCCCACAATGCCATTTAAACTAATCGTATCTTCTACTGTGAAAACAGAGAATATTTTTTATAGTTTCTGGCATTTCCTCATTCAAATGATAATTTTTCCAGTTAACTCTGACTTTTCTTCACAGATGCTGCCAGACGTGGCTGAGCTTTTCCAGCAATTTCAGTGTTTGTTTATAATTTTTCCTGACACTGCCTTTAAAGGAGCAATGTTTACTTTAGCTATTCTCTTCCTTTATCATATACTTGAATAGCAGTTTGCTCTTAAAACTCCACAATGGGCAAGGTCATACTTGTAGACGCTGTATACATCCTTCACAAGGAGATTGTTACAACTTGTCAATGTGGTCCATACCCTGAAAACAGTTACAGAATGGTACTGGCGGAGATTAGGACAAAGCCCTCTCACCACATTTTTAGAAAAAGTGCATAAAAAGAGGAAGGAATTCTAAATTTGTTTATTTTATTTGACTTTATTCAGCAAGCAGTCAGTTATCCAAAGCGAGTGTGTTTACCATATGTAAAGAAAAGGAAGATTGAATGGTGAAGTATTCAAGGATGACTTTTGCCTGGCAATAAACTCTTGTTATCAATACTTAACAAAAGGTTGGTAAAGTGAAACTTTAAATTTAGGTTTAACCAGGCTATGCCAGAGCATTTCATCTTGGTACAACAATGCACATGCCAACACACAATGTGTAAAGTGAATAGAATTGTATCTTGATTTAATTGATTAATTGTGGTTCATGTTCTAATTTGACTCAGAGCTCCAAATAATAGCTGAACCCAACATCTATTAATGGTGTTTGTTGTTACAAGTGACATTAAGTGCACACATCGTTTTTATTACATATTGGTGGCATTCTTTGCTCACACTTATGGCTATCGTTAAATGCTTCAATTAATTTGCAATACTTGACAAACTGAGGTTATGCCAAATTGGCCTCAGAAGGTATAAACAAAAGGTTGACAACTGAAACACTACATAGGCTACAGAAACATTCCTACAAAAGCTGCACTTTCCATTTCATGTAATTAGGTCTGCTGTATGTCTGTCATTTAATTGAAGATTGGTGAGCTCGATAGGCGAGGCACATCCACAGGATTGAAAATAGGTTGCACACCCAAGACTTTCTCTACAGTAGGTAGCTCGAGGGTAACCCAAGGCTACACATCAAAGATGCATGCAAGTGTGCAATGAAGTCCCTAACTATTGATTACCATACTTGTGAGTTACTAGCTGCCGAAAGATTTATATTTCACACAACGACGTGTCTTGGTTTGGAAGGAATTGCCTAAGTGCGTGAATTAAGACATTCAAGAGAACACTGAATTATTATTTAAATAGGAACAAAATGCAGAGTTTCAGGGATAAAGCAGAAGCTTTTGTATGTAAGTCATCGAGTCAGAGAGTTATAGAGTCATACAGCATGGAAACTGTCCTGTTGGTCCAACTCGTCCTTGCTGACCAAGTTCCCAAACTAAACTAGTCCCACTTGCCTATGTTTGGGCTATATCCCTCTAAGTCCATCCTATTCATGTACCTATCCAAATGGCTTTTAAATGTTGTAACTATACCTGCAACTACACTTCCTCTAGCAGCTCATTCCACACCTGAACCACCCTTCATGGGAACAAGTTGCCCTTCAGGTTCCTTTAAGTCTTTTTCCTCTCACCTTAAAAATATGCCCTCTAATTTTGAACTCTCCCACCACAGGGAAAAGACTTTTGCTATTCACCTTATCTATGTCCCTCATGATTTTATAAACCTTTATATGGTCACCTCTCAAACTCCTTGGTTCCAGTGAAAGAAGTCCCAAATAATCCAGCCTCTCCTTATAACTCAGAGCCCTCTAATCCTGGAAATATCATGGTAAATCTTTTTGGAACCCTCTCCAATTTAATAATATTATTCCTTTGGCAGGGCGGCCAGAACTGTATACAATACTCTAAATGTGGCTTTGCTATCATCCTGTACAACCTCAACATTGCATCCAAACTCCTGTACTCAGTGGTCTGCGCAATGAAGGCCAGTGTGCTAAATGCCTTCTTAACCATCCTGTGACGCAACTTTCAAAGATCCCCTGGGTCTCTGTTTGATAACACAACCCAGGGTCCTACTATTAACTGCATAATTCCTCCTCTTGTTTGCTTTACCAAAATGCATTTATCCAAATTAAACTCCAGCTAGCACTCCTCAGCTTGAAACAAAATGCTGAGAGAGATGGTACAGACACAATGGGTTGAACAGTCTTTTTCTACGCCTTAACTATTCTGTGATTCTGAAAGGGAGAAATGACATCTCCTGTGGTTGGCACACACCTGCATAATGATCAGTCACAACTGCAATGTGGCAACAGTCTCCAACATGGAAAACAGCAAGCTACAATATCACACGGCAGCTTCACATGTGGCATTTATGTCAGACTCTGGTTTTCAACGAATGGCCTTCATAGCCACCAACAATATGCATCAAATGACAACACCCCATCAAAGTGGATTATTTGCTCCATCGCTCTTATTTGTAACATATACCTCTCTGCTGTTTAACAAGGAATCCTTAGGTCCAGAATTTTGTAAATCGACTACAGATCTGTGATTTAAATGTCAATGATGCATAATACATCAGGCTATGTGTAGAACTTGCTCTTATAGTTACAAAGGACAGTAGTGCTCACAAATTGTCAACACAGTGTGGTGGGAGACTGTATGAATCTGACCACCTCCAGAAAGTGACAATGATTTTGGATAGAGTGGAATCTTTGGTGGAGGAACTGCCATCAAGAGCTGAATGAGCTGAATCTGGAACTAGTCAACGACACTCCAAATCAAATTTGATGCAGAAACAGCACAGAACAAGTCTATGTGTATTCACTGCCACAAAAAAACATACAAATTAGAAGTAAACCATACATTCCATCAAGCCTATTCCACCATCGAGTACAATCATGGCTGATCATTAGTCTTTGATCCACTTTTTCACCTGGTCTCCATATCCCCTGAGAAATCTGTCTATCTCAGCTTTAAATATATCAAATGATAAAAGGAAAGGCAAGCATGGAATGCAGGGCTAATGTAGCAGAACGTATGACCCAGAAAGAAAGGCAGGCACAGGAATAGCGAGTTGGTACAAATATATGTAAAATGCATTACGTTTTCTGTTTAAGAAATATGTCATTTTTAAAATGTTACAAATTTGATTGCTAATAGTGCAATGGTTCAGATAGCAACATGGTTAGTGAAATATTTGTTGGGGCTTTAACATGCTTGAAGGTGAGTAAAAATGCTTATAGACAGCAATTACTGACATATTCTGTGAATGCCTGGTTGTTCTGTCAGTCATTAAAAGAATTTTTGGCAAACTGTATGCCCAATCAGAATGAAAAATATGATGTTCATTACATTCAGTAAAGAGATATAGTAACTGAATCCTGACAGCTCTTGCATACAGATGGTAGGCAATGCGAGACAATGATATTGAGAGTTTTGTCCAGTGTGTTGGACAGGCTCACAGTAGTGCCTTTGTAATTATTTGATCTTGGAGTATGTGCATCACTAATATTTTGAAAAGTGCATGAGTTAACCCTAGCGGCCAGCCCAATAGTTATGCCTCCACCAACATCATAAAAACAGATTATCTGGTCATTATCACATTACAGTTTAGGGAAGTCTACTGTGCTGTTTTTCCTGCACTGCTACAGTGACTACATTTCAAAAGTACTTCATTTGTTGTGAAAAAAAATCCTTTGAGAAGTCAGTGGTTGTGAACAGTGCAATATAAAAACAGGACATTGACTGATCAGCTGTACTAGAGTCCAATATGGATAATTTGAATTTAGGAAAAGGGAATTCCTAGCTAGTTTGAAGAATAATTAGCAAGCCAACAAAGTTAGCAGCAATCACTAAGCCCCATCAACAAGATTTAAATTAAACTTGGTTGTGATAACATTACTCAGAGAATGGGATGAGCCTGAAAATCCCTGTGTAAGTTAGCTGTGTCAGAGGAATGAAAAATCTCAGCAAGATATTTTGAATAGTTACATCGAGCAATCGGAATCTCCAAATATGAAGTACCTTTATCCTTTGATCATCAACATCTACAACTGTGGCAACTCGAATCAACATTGGGTTTCGTCTGTCAACAGCTTCAAGCTTCATATTCACCTGGAAACCGTGTGGTGACCGCTGTAGGATGGAAATTTCAACAGTGATGATATTTTACTGCTAACAGCCTACTGTTTAAACTTGGTGAACAAGATTCCATGCAGGTATGTAATGTAAACTATCACCACCCAATACAAATTATTTTAGACTACTACATGAATAAAGTCCTGAACTGATGGCATGAGAAAGCATCAACTTTTTGAAACCATGACACAGAATAAATAAATCTAAATTTATACTAAAGAGATTTTACCAGGGGTCTATGGTCAGACAGAAACATATACAAATTAAAGCAATGTGCTGATTAGGAAAGCCACTGAATTTTGACTCGTTGGGAATACATTGGAAATCTGAAACAGGAAATTAACCAGAAATTTGATTTTATATGTATCCAAAAAATAATACAGATATAATTATATAATGTACATACATTGGGGTTGATAGTCTATTTTCACAGAAATGATATATAATAATATATAATACATATATATCATAATATATGTTTTCACAGAAGGAAGTTAGGTGGGAAGCTGCACAGCTGGAGTAAAGGCAGCAAACTGGAATACTCAGCAGGAAGCAGCAGAGCATAGGAAAGCAAAGTGAAAGATTCAAATCAATGACCAGTGTAGATGACAGATCAGTGACCTGAAACATCAATTCTGTTCTTCTCTTCACAATCGCCAGACAAACTAAGAATTTCTCATATTTCATATTTTTATTTCAAAGTCCCAGAATCCACTGTATTTTCTTTTTTAGAATCTGGGATCTCATCTCGAGGAATCCAGGGGCACAGCCTTTACTCACCTGTTACAAGGCCAGTGGTACATCGGTATGGACAAGGGCAGGTGAGGACAGGGATGCCTGACACTAGGACCTCTTCCATAAGCAGTCTCCTCCTGTTAACTTCACACACCAGTGTCAGCAATTTGGTCCATGAAACCAAACACAACAGGCCACCAAATGTCAGGGTCAAGCTCAGGGATGAAATAAAGGATCGTGGCATTGACCTCTGAAGATTCCATGAGTTTTAAAAGAAAAATGCGTATAGAAGTTGAGAGAATGATGACTGTATCATTGTGGGGTTCTGGTACCCTAATCACAGCACTAGAAAGGTGCAGGACAGCACCTGAAGCAGGCACCCTCAATGTGTCTCAGCAGAAGAAATTTCCTCACTCAGACGGTGGTGAGCCTACAGAATTCTCTGCCACAGAAGGCAGAGCATTCCATGCTTTTAAGAGCAGTTAGTTATAGTTCTTAGGGCTAAAAGGATCAAAGGCAATGTGAAAAAAGCCAGAACAGGATACTAAGTAGGATGATCAGCCATGATCACATCGGATGGTGGAGAAGGCTCAAAGGGCCGAAGGGGTTAGGGTTCTCTGGATCTCATTTTCTATGAAACATGTCAAAGACAATTGGAAGTCTTTGATTTTGGATTCTTGACATTGACTCAGGGATTTGGAAGAAACTCATCCAGGATCGCTGCATCTGGTTTCAACAAATAAAAACAGTGCAGCTGTCTTTGAAAGAAAATGCATCTCAGAGGCAGAGAGAAAAAAACTTGAACCAGAAACTCGTTCAAACTCAACCGTCTGCGGTATCCTGTCCTATTTTACAAATCTGCTGGAGACAGATTGGCTGACCCATGCAGTCAACTACATATCCAGTGGAATTCCACCAAATGCTCAGGTGAGTGGCTTACCTGACCATTTCAGAGCACGATTAAGAGTCAATCATATTGTTATGGGTTTGGAGTCACATCCAGGCCTCAACCGGTAAAATCAGTACGAGTGTAGAAAATGGGTTTTTACAACACTCAATGAGAGTTTCAAAGTCACCAAGCTTGAGACAATTTTAAATTCCAGATTCTATTAATTAAACCAGCATCTTATATTGAAGACTTACAGCTAAATTTCTGTGGTGGATAAGACGGAAAAACAGCATTAACACTGTTTCCTCAAGGATTTCCACTGGAAATCTGGGAAGAAAGCACTGATAGGCTGTTTCCTTAGTTTAAAATGTTGGGGTGGAGGCTTGAATGATTTGCACTATCTTTAGAGATACTAACAGAAGGGTTCTGTGCAATTACTGGGTCTCATCCACAATTGCAGGAGTTTCATCAGATTTTCATCATTCAACGTCACAGGAAAATGGAAAACACGGAATGACATCTTGTAAAGATGCCATTTAGTTTCAGTCTGGATTGGAAGGAAACGATTTAAAACGTCGTTGTAAACTTACTTTGGTGCTCACATAGTCTGTTGGCCACAGTATTTGCCCCTAGTGAAAGAGGGTCCAATATTCCCCTTCTAACCTGCATGGTGTAGCCATGGAGTTGGGCAACCTCCTTTTCCTAATTTCAGCTTCAGTAACTCAGTAAAATCTGATATTAAAGAAGGGACTAGTTAACCTGGAAGTAATAAGCAGAAACCAACGACAGCAATAATCTTAAACAATGTAAATGAACAGAGGATTGGGTAATAAATGGCAGCAAGTGTGAGACACAAGGAAATAATCATATGATTATTATTATGGAATTATAAAAGGTGAAGTTAAAGAACATCAGAGGGTTACTGATAGGTGCAGCATAAAACAGGTAAGATCATTGTGAGTCAGAAAGAAATACAAAAGCAACATGCTGCACTACAGTGCAAGTTCAGGACAATGTAAGTTGGTGACATTACATGAAAACTGCAGCTCTCTCGGCAGACCACCTTGAACAAGACACAGGTGAAATATTCAACCAAGCACAGAGAAAAGCAATAAGAAGGCAGTTGCAAAAATTGGAGCTACCTAGCTTTGGGAAGAGTCAACCGAGTAAAGACGTTGCTACAAGATTTGGAATCGAAACAGACAAGATAAATCTCGTAAAAACTGAAAGAACTGCGGATGCTCTAAATCAGGGACAAAAACTGAAGTTGCTGGAAAAGCTCAGCAGGTCTGGTAGCATCTGTGAAGAAAAATATCAGAGTTAACATTTCGGGTCCAGTGACCCTTCCTCAGAACCAGAAAAACCTGGTGTTCTATTCCAAGTTAAGCTGAGTCGGTGGTGAGGAAGTGCTTAGAAACAACAGCCTGGATTTTATGGGGCTCTGCAGTTCCAATCCCCACAGCTGAAAAAGTTAAGAGAAGCCTTCCTTTCTACAAACCTGTTGTCTGCCCTGTGGCAATTATTTTGCTTTAAGGCAAGTGACTTCTGTCTCTATTTTGGCAGTCAGTTCCATCTGGCTGATCAAATGGTCAACAGCTCAGTATGAAACTGTTTGACACTGCTGGGCTTCAGGAAATCCCACAATTCTCAGAAGCCTAGGTATTGATGAAGGGAGTCGGGAGTAGTTTGGTAGGGTTGAATGGTGGTAGTTTGAGGCAGGTTAGGAGCCAGGTTTAGGAGTGGAAAAGAGAGAGAAAATGAATGATCCTTTGGGAGGGTTGCTTTGCAATGGGTCCAGGAATGCTCCACACAGGACATTCTCTCCCTTACAACTTGTCCAACATCAACGCATTGATCTAAAGCTGCCAAACATTAATGGGGGAGATGCACCCATCAGGGAAGTACTGATGATGGCAGATAAGGGAGACCACCTGATGCCTCCCCCACCATATGTAAAATTTCAAACAGGTTGTAGAATGTGCGCTGGTGACCATGCCACCTCCCACCTGAACCTCAATCAAGGAAACGTAGAGTCCATTAAGTGAACCCAGGTGTAAATTAACAGCGACTTAAACAAGCAAAAACTAATAATGTGGAACCGGTAGGGATCTGTTAAGGGCAAAGCATGTTTAACTAAATTGATTGAGCCTTATGAAGAAGTAAGAGAAGGTTGTTAAGGAAGTTGATGTGTACATTGAACTGGAAAAGGGCATTCGTTAAAGCCCCCATTTAGGCTTACTTGCAAAATTAAAACCCACAGGTTAAAAGAGGCAGAAGAATACAAAATTGTGTTGGAATAAATAATAGGAAAATTGTGGGCATTGACTGTGTTTTAAGAAAGAAAGGAAGAAAAGGTTAACAAAACACACAGGATCGTAGCCTTCACAAGAGATATAAAGCACAAAAAGTCGATAACACTGTTATGCCAAACAAGCAGAAAACAGTCATTCATAATCAACTCGATTACTGTGTGCAATTCTAGGCAGTGCACTTTGGAATAGACTTGGAAGCATTGGGGAGGATTCAGAAATGATTCATAATAATGAATGAGGGATTACAGTTTTGTGAATAGATGGGAGAGGCTGGGGTTGTTCTTCTCTGAGAAGATAAGACAAGAGGTCTGTTTTAAGATGAGCTAAATTACAATTGGTTAGGATCTCAAATGTACTGCCTTATAAAATGCTGGAAACAGGTTCAGTAGTAACCTTCAAAAAGGGTTTTGGATAAATACTTGAAAATAAGCCACAAATACAAGGAAAGATGGAAAATTGGACTAACTGGCTTGCTCTTCAAAAGAACTGGTTAAGAGTCTTTGGCTGAATGCTCTCCTGTGCTGTTGTTCTATGATGTGAAGTTACTAGAACAAGAAACACAGATTAAAATTGATGAGGGGAACAACTGATACGATATGCCAAGAAGAATACTGTCATGCAGAGTGTGAAATACATGAGGTGATCTTCATGCATAGTCAAAAGCCTTCAAAACAATTAAGATGCAGTATGATGATGTGAAGGAAGAACGACAAGTTGCTTTCTTTGGCAGGTAAATGATGAGAGTCTCTGCTATCTATAATTCTCTTGTGGTCTCTAAGAGAGCAACTACTTGAAGCATTATACATTTTGAGGCGTATTACCTGAACTATCTCTAGGATTACCTCTGCAACACCCTTATTCATTGCTATAGAATTACCCATTGGTAAATGCAGAAACAATCAGAGGAATATCTGAGACAACAAGGTGCAGGGCTGGATGAACACAGCAGGCCAAGCAGCA